CTAAGTTAGGCTTACCCAAATGATGTTTTTATTACAGTATTTTATATACAGGAGTTTATACCTCTGTGATCCACATTGGACCAGCGGTTTGGAAAAGGGATGGATAATTCATCTGCGGGCGCCATCTTTTGTTCAGACGCGGGAATTCATTCGGTGCGCGACTCTCACGGTGCATTATGGGTTTTCTCTAGCCATTGAGCGTACATCGGTTGTATTCTTTTACGGTGCATTATGGGATTGAATGAGTGCACTCAATAACGTGCACTATGGTTTCGGACACCATGACAAATGGCTGTCCCCTAAAATAGTTCCATATTTAAGGTTATAGGGGGCGATACAGTCACAGTTGTGTGAGTTTAGTTCCTTTTGCTTTCTTATTTACATGTTGCATGATATTTCAAAAATTGAGCTAATTTGTGGATGAGCGGACAAGAGTCTGAAATCTGATTGTGGTGTATGAAACCAGGCAAATTGTATTTGCATGTATGTGTTACTGTAGCTCCGACCTAATGCACGGAAACAGCTGTGTTTAAGAGGTACAGCTGTTGGCATAACGTCGGATTAACTGACCAGTTCTTTTTGGTGAACTATGAGGTTTTAATGTAAATTTGGGAGTGATTGCAGCTGACCGTATTTAGCTGCAGTGTGCATGTGGCTCGTTGTTTTTGTTGCTGAATTATTGTTGTGATTTTTTTATTATTATTATTAATAATAATGTTTTCAGTATCAGAACATGCAAAACTGAGATTTGCATGAAGGGGATGAACATTTTTAACAGCTTCAGCTGTTACTGGTCTTACCTGTGCTACAAGTGTAAATAATATTTTGCTAGAAAGCTTTGAGCAGACTTTGTATGACTTGTGAGCTAAATTTGGGCTGAACTTATTTAGCAAAAAAAGTATTTAAAAATATGAATGTATATTGTATAATATTATATTGTAATATTACAAGGAAGTAGTGAATATATACATTTTATTTATATCAGATACACCTGCTAATCCTTGACTGCTCCTTCATTCGTATCTGCACTTTGATGCTTATCTTCCTATCTATGCCCCGCCTCTTTCTGTGTCACTCTTCTGACTGTAACGCTATCTAAGAAAGGGTGTTTCCAACTTTGACTGCTTTGAGTCATTTCTAGGCATTTTGCTGGGGAATACTATAACATTTTGTTTTTGGTGGTTTGTGATACCACAGAAGCCATGCATAGGCGTGTGGTCATAATAATTTGTCAGAAATGGAGATCGCAAGAGGAAACGTGATCTGTCTTATAGAGGATTCAGAGAAGTGCCACATGCAAATGAGAAACCTGCTTTGTTGTAAAGAGGTAGACTTCCCCTGGGTTTATCATTACAGCTCACTTATGTCGCAAAGCTCGGCGTGGTGAGCTCAGACGTCACAGAGGTTTTGCAGGGAAGGTTTTTTTTTTTTCTCTGTCGGGTGAATTCCAAGGCATGAATTAGTGTTACAGCTGTAAAAGGGAAGGCAGAAGCTTATACAACTGCTTCTGTCTACTTTACAGCTGCCTCTGTGTCTTCTACATGAGCACTTTGACCCCAGGTGACACCTAGACAACAGTGTGACTTTGGAATCTACTAAACGTCTCAGAAGACCGCTGAGATAAATCACAAGAGAATCCTGTCTTCAAATACCGTTATTTCTCCTGTGGATTTGTTTATGGAATTAGCGAGGACCTCAGTTAGGGTGACATCTTTCTTCAGGTAAGAGCAAAGTACACCAAGGAAATCCTAGATGGAGGAGGAGGATTCTTGCCTTTCTAATGTTACACTGTCATGGCCTGCTGCTCCTAGTTGTCTTAAGGTTTTTCGTAATGTCAGTTGACACAAGATTCTGCTTTGTGCCTTTTTAATGTCTTCACTAGGTTCAGTGCGATTCAGTTTTAGTGAGTCAGCGTTTTTACTACTGCCGGTCCGGTGGAAAGTTCACAACTGTCCAAATATTCCCTTAGTCCAAACCTTCTAGAGGTCATCTTTTGAAAATATAGAATGACATACGACATCGGTTTCCAATCTACAGTGTACACACCTAACAAATGACCTAGTAAACCATTTTGCATTGTAGCTGTAAGGTATAAGTGTTTCATAAAACCCTTTACATAGGCTAGCAGTTTAACAAGCACATGAAATGGCTTCACAAATACAGTTTTCTTTCCTGTGCTGATGTAGCCTATTTTTCATTGAAAGAGGAAGGTGGTCCAGGACATATGTAAGGGCTTGTCCCATTCCCCCCCCCCCCATTTTTTATGTCTAAAGGATGTTGGCCATGAATCATGGTTTGATACTTCCTTTGCTATGTTAAGTCAGAGACAAGTATTTGGTTTTGGGGTAAGGGATTTGCTAATTTTATTGGATAAATGATTGGACTTGCCCACATCAACTGGAAGATGACACCGTCCTCAATATTTTGGTTATAAGAATGTGAAATACAGCAAATGTCTGTATCTGCTAAACTATTTTCCCAAGTTTTAGGAGTACACTAGCATATAGATGACCTCAAAGCTATGGACATGGACAAAAATACACTAAAATCAAATCCAAGTCTTTCAAAGAGCCACTTTTGAAGAGGATGTCAAACAAAAGTGACGTTTGATGTCATGGAGCAGTTTATGTCTGCAAAGGCTGTCTTTTATTGTCAGATGATTACAAAGGGTGATTTACTTATGTTTTATGAATGCTGTGTTTTATGTCGGATAAATAATGATTTTGCCAAATATATTCAATCTTATGGGAGAAATATGCTAAGACCAAAACTTCACTGACTTATAAAAGCCACAGTATAGGCTATAATGAATGCTTAATTTTACAAGACATTTTCTCTTTGGACAAGTAACATTATCTTGAATAATGTTACTGGCAATTTACTTATAACCTCAATGTAATTCTCTGTTATTTGGTTTGTTTAGTATCTTTTATAGCCACAAATATTGAAAATTAGGCAGTCAAATTAAAGTGAACCTATATGTGACCCTGGACCACAAAACCAGTCACAAGGTTTTTTTATTTTTTTTTATTGAGATTTATACATCAATGCTTATTCAGCTTTCAGATGATGTAAGGTTTGTTAGGATAGGACAATATTTGGCCGAGATACAACTATTTGAAAATCTGGATTCTGAGGGTGCAAAAAATCTAAACATCCATTTATGTTCGCGATTGTGCTGCATCCACTCACAAAAATAAATATTTTAATATATTTACAGTAGGAAATTTACTAAATATCTTCATGGGACATGATCTTTACTTAATATCCTAATGATTTTTGGCATAATAGAAAAATCGATAATTTTGACCCATGCAATGTATTGTTGGCTATTGCCACATATATACCCGTGCGACTTGTGACTGGTTTTGTGGTCCAGAGTCACATATATGAAATCGTTTGTTGTTTCTTGGCAACAGCATTTCTTGCCAAATGTCAATACGACATGTCTGACTGGTCACACCCCACTGTGACTGGCAAAGAGAACGTTCATTTGACCGGTGCTGGGTGTTAACCCTGCTGACCTATATAGGAAATAATGGAGAATATAGTCCTGGGAATATTATGTGAACTAAACATGTAATCTGATAATATTTCAAACTTCATGAACAGCAGGCCTTTACCAGCTAGTCTGTTTACCATTTCTTAAAGGGGCAGTTCACTCTAAAATTTTAATTGTCATCATTTACTCACCTTCATGTTGTTCCAAACCTGTATGACTTTTTTTCTTCTGTGGAAGATAACATTAATTTTGTGTATATGTGTGTGTGTGTGTGTTTTTCCACCTATCCGTACAATGAAAGTCAGTGGTAGCCCACATTCTTCATATATCTCCTTTTGTGTTCTACAGAAGAAAGAACGTATTTAAATTGTTGGTTGAACTATTGCTTTAATAGTCTTAAAAATAGTGCTTGTAGGATTTTTTATTTTATTTTATTTAGCAAATCAAAAAAATGGTATATAAAGGAAAGTGAACAATGACACTGTACGGTATAAACCAAGTATGAAAACCAGTGTGTTTGTTTGTGGTAATATAAACTTTGCCACATTCAAATGCAGGTTTTGGACAGTGCAAAGCTGTTTTCACTGACCTGAATTTTTTCATACACAAGAATGTCTGTAAGGGAATTATCGGTCTTTCAGGTCATCCCAGCATCCTCACCAACAAAGCTAAAACCGTTCCTCAAGTTTCAGTTCTTAAAACATCTCATTGCAGAAATGGCCTCAGTTAGTTTCACAGTTTGTAAGATTGTAGTAACAAACACATTCTGCACAGATTTTGCTGTAGTTAATTATTTTTTCCAGGATTAATTTAATATGCACTCTACACAAGATAAAAGATTGGTAGTGTTGTGGACATCCTGTAACATTGTTGAGATGATGTTTACTAGATCTAATTCAGATGTTCTGATATACCTTTTTAATTTGTGTCTCATTGTTCAAAATATGAAAATGTAGCTTTACATTAATGTAGCTTACATAATATTGTTCTGGTTGGTCAAAGCCTGCAGTCGCACTCGCTCCTGTAGATTTTATAATTTTTTCATAAACAAGAATGTCTGTTTTAATTTGTGTCTCATTGTTCAAAATAATGCCATTTATGTAGCTTACATAATATTAGCATTATATTTAGTGATTGCATCAGGTGTCAGAATCAGTTTACAATAGGAAAAAATGTAAAGCGGTCTAAAAACTATGAAGTTGCTTTAAACACACTTTATCTAGAAGAGCATGATGATGATGATGATAATTTTAAATATTAGTTATCATTTTTTTAGGCTAATTTTATTTTTTTATATAATATTTTAGGCTAAATCCTGAAATTTTCAAGTGATTTGACAAATCATGCATTATATAAAATCAAGAAGCACAATTTATAACAAGAAACGTCTCATAACATATCGTTAGTTTGTAAGAATCAAGCCTTTTAGAAGTTTTCTGAATTGAATGTAACAATTTTGTTTTCCCACTTAAATAATCTTTATTTTATTTTTCCACAGGTGGCGACAGACAAGGTAGCAGGCAAGCTGAGTTCGACTCTTTCATGGGTGAAGAACTCAGTGTCGCACACGGTGAGTCAGATGGCTAGTCAGGTGGCCACGCCCTCCTCGCTGCACACCACTGTGGCTTCATCCACTGCCTCACTGTCCTCGCCCTCCTCGGCCTCCCCGTCCCAGCTCAGCCCAGACGATGTGGAACTGTTGGCCAAACTAGAGGAGCAGAACAGGTATGAGTGCTTCACCCAATGTCATCTGGATGATTTTTTTATCTTTAGTGTTTACCAAAGCACAACACTTTTAACTATTTTCCCATTCCCAGAAACATTTTGGAGCACTGTTTTGTCAGAACATTGCAGTGCTTATTGGGTATTAACACCGTCTATTAGGGCTGTGTTCGAAATATTGATACGCTGATGTACCGTCACATACTCCTTGCTGATATGGATATGAATATCGATACAGAAGCAGATTCCATAGCACATGCACAGACTTGTTGGCTGCGCTTAATTTGAATACAAGAACAGCATTTATATAGGAATTGAAAAGTGCAGGGTTTCTAAATGAATGAACATAATAAATAATAGTGCCGTGCGATTTAATTGAATTTTTTGTTTCGATTTTGACTTCCAACGATCATTAAGATCGATAGTCGAGATAAAATGATTATTGTGCCTCATTTTGTTCTTTGTAGTGCGCTTTTACCCCTCATTAAAAGTCCAAACTTAACGTCCTAATTAGTCAAATCATGTAATATGACTGTTGTGTTATGAAGTATACTGTGGAATGTGCTTGATATTAGGGCTTAAAAAAAAAAAGATTTGTCAATTAATTTTTTTTTTTTAAATGTGGTCGATTCGATATTGATTTGCAAAAGCCATGAATCGATATTTTTTTTCTGTTAACATGACAGATGCAGGTGCACCTCTCAGCGTGAAAGACGTTCTGGACAGTTGAAGGAACTGTCACTGTCCCGATTCAGTGAACGTAAACCATAGAGAAAGACAACACGTGTACAAGCATTATTTTATACTGAAAAGCAGAAAGTTAAAGTCATACAGTCTCTTTTTTTTAAAGGAAATATTTGTGTTGTTTGTGTACTTGTAATTTGCCTTCAGTCTTGGATAATTTCCTTTTAAAGTTTGTCCAACCTTGTGTTGAGGAGCTCTTCTCTTCTCTTCTCTTCTCTTCTCTTCTCTTCTCTTCTCTTCTCTTCTCTTCTCTTCTCTTCTCTTCTCTGTTCTTCTCTTCTCTTCTCTTCTCTTCTCTTCTCTTCTCTCCTCTCCTCTCCTCTCCTCTCCTCTCCTCTCCTCTCCTCTCCTCTCCTCTCCTCTCCTCTCCTCTCCTCTCCTCTCCTCTCCTCTCCTCTCCTCTCCTCTCCTCTCCTCTCCTCAGCTTCTCTTCTCTTCTCTTCTGGTGTGTTCCAAATTTAGCCTGCTCTTTAATACAAACAGTGATATGTCAAGAGCACTGACATGATGTTAACACAGTGAAGCCTTTACTGGGGTGGCTGTGTTGTGTTCTCAGACAAGTGGTGACACAGTACTTTTACAAATATAGAACCTGAGAGAGATAAAGGTCTGTGGAGCTGTCTGTCTATCAGTCTTACTTTTTTGTCTCTCTCTTCAATTTTGTACATTATAACATGTATGAGAATAGCTTCAAACAGTTAGAAAATTTGCTCCAAACTGTGATGTTCATGCGAGTAAAACTGGTTCGAGTCTTGCCGGTGATGTGTCCTGATCCTATTCTACCTCTCACTCTGCAGTAATATAATATAATAATACTATCAAAGTTTAGGGTTGGTAAGAATTTTTTCAAATGTTTTTGTTTAGCATTTTTTTGTATACAGTAAAAACAATTGTGAAATATTATAACATTTTCTATGTTAATATATTGCAAAATGTAATTGATTCCTGTCAATAATAATTTATTCCAGTTTTTTTGTAACAATGTAAAAGTCTTTACTGTCAGTTTTAATCAGTTTCATTCATCTTTTCAAAAAAGTATTAATTTTGTAAAAAAGAAAAGAAAAAAAAGTCTGAACGGTAGTGTAAATGTTAAATGATTAAGTGTAACATTTATGGTAATGGAATACATGGGCCAGTATTTTAACTAATTTATTGCCAACTAATTTATACAAAATTTCATCCTTGATTTGCTACATTTTTCACATTGGTTCGGATAACTCGTAGTTTAGTCTAGGAAAACATTAGTTTACCTGTACGGTTTTGCACAGCAAACCGAGGGAGGGAAAAAATCAACTATATTAAAACGCGCATACACCTATAGCTAAACTCATAATATGCATGTGCACGCCGTCACCATTTTCACAGATTCACGTTTTGAAGTTTACACGGAGATGGTAACGTTTAAAAAAAAAAAATCTAAACTTGCACCTTGGAACCTATTTTAGGGTTTGCGTTCTCGAGCCACCAAGCACTGTTGTCGTGCATATGAGCGGCTGGAACACATTAAAAGTTTTCTGTTTTCAGTTAAAACGGTGTCGTGTAAGCGGCCCCTAAGTTAATAACTAAGGATCTTTGCAATGGAAGTGAATCAATTAAAAACTAACTTTAGCTGGACAATAACTTTATTCTAGAGCTGCTGTAAAGCCAAAACAATCTGTTATTTTAATTTCCTTTTATCAGTGTAAAGCTGCTTTGAAACTATCTATATTGTTAAAAGCGCTATATAAATGAAGGTGACTTGATTTGACTTGACTTCAGATTTAGTATGTTAACCCACTTTGACCCGCAACCTTTACTAAAAAGCAGAGTGGGTGTGGTGCTCAGGGTAGCTGACCTTTGACCCCAGTCTTCATCAGGACAGCTGGAGGCCACAGCTGGTCCCAGAGATCACTAACAATAACCTATCACCCGCTGTCTCTCACAGTATGCATGCCATTAGTGTAATGCTGCCTGGCATATGTCAGAGAGTGTGTCTTCTCTCAAGTCAACACAAGCCTCAGCCCTTTCATAATGCTCACGTTAGGCAATTCATCTGATATTGATAGCAAAGCAGAGTAAAACATTTATATATATATATTGACAGCAAAGCAGAGTAAAACAGATATATATATATATTGACAGTCAGGTCTTTTAAAATCAGCTGAATTGACTTAAACTGCAACATTAGAAACCAGGAATGAGACGTAATAAAATAAAGGCCTTTTCCTTCCTGGTTTCACATAAGAAATTGTTACTGTATCAGCATCTGCAACTAATTTCCTGGTCTTTTTAAAGTGTTAATGGGCATGTTGAACTTTTCGTGAGCATTTATTTGAATTTGTTGTTGGCAGATCAAAAACCCGCCCCTTTCCTCATTGAGTATTGATTAGGTTGGAGACCCAGTGCTTGCTTTCACCTTGTTGTTTTTGGTATCACAGACTGGTTTCGGTATTAGAGCGGAATCAGTGTGATCCGCTTGGGCGAATGCAACACCCACACAGAGTTCTCTCTGCAGCTAGAAAGTAGGGCAGAGGATCTGTGGAGTGTTTGGAGCTCCGATTCTTTACATGGCCATATGAGCTCGTCTTAACACTGCAGAAATGGGGCCTCGAGTGCCACTGATGAATCTAGGGCTGTGCTGATACTATCAGATATGGATATATCACAATTTAATTTTTTACAATATTACATTGATCCATATTTTTTTTAGTATTGTTTAATTAATATTTTCTACAGTTCAGATAATGAAGAAGAAGCAGCTAGTCTAAACCAACATTTCTCTGTGAGGTCAGAGATACTTCTAAGACATGGCACTCAACAAAACTGAGGCTCGTACAGCATTTTTAGAGATTGATGCCACAGATGCGCTCTCTCTGGCGTATCTGGAAAAGTTTCAAACACAATTATTTCTTGATGTATTCGATAGTGACGTATCACAATGTGTGTTACCACTACCCAGCTCTACTTTACACTACTGTTCAAAAGTGTGGGGTTATTTTTTATTTTTTTTAAATAAGTCTCTTATACTCACCAAGACTGCAGTATAATAAAAATAGTAGAATATATATATATATATATATATATATATATATATATATATATAGCTTACTTCTACCTCTGAATAAAAAATAAAAAAGGTAATTGCTTCCTCAGAATTGGACTTTATAACTCGCAATTGCGAGTTTATATTTTGCAATTCTGACTTCTTTTCTCGCAATTGGTAGAAATAAAAACTCACATTTGCAAGAAAAAATGGCAGAATTGCGAGATGTAAACTTGCAATTGTAAGAAAAAGTCACAATTATCTTTTAAATTGTTTCATTCCATGGGGGAAATAAGCTTCCATAGCAATGTACATGGTCAAGACACTTCATACCATGGTCCAAAATGAAAGGCCAAATAATTCAGTTGTTTTAATGCATAATACGGGTTCATAGCCGTTAAGAAATAAAGGCCAGTAATTATTTAATGCAAGGAGAAGCCTCAAAAATTAACTGTTTGCCACACCTGCTAATGGTGGTTGAATTAAACCACCCTTAGCAGGTGTGGCAAACAGTTAATTCTTGAGGCTTCTCTTTGCATACTCACACAGATTTTAAACTCCACTGGGATTTTGCTTTGCCGCTGCACTGGTCGAGGGCCTTTGCACTTTAGATAAGCGGTGTTTGTGTGTGTGTTTATGTGGGCTCAGAGAGAGAGAGAGAGTAGGGTGAGACAGACAACAAGAGTGTGTGAGAGAAAATCAGGTTGTTTCACTTCTCACAGGCACATTTGGGATTACTTGGAGGAATCCGAGGAAAGACATGTGGATTGCAGAATGAACTTCCCATGGTGAGCAGCTTCACAGTAATACCTTTGATCAATTCTCTATCGCACAACACTGCAGATGCAGCGGAGCTGAAATTCACAGCCGGTTACGGATTTTAGTTGATCTTTTTCGCTGTCAGTTTTGTTTTTTTGTTTGTAGTTGCTTTAATTCATTCATAAAAAAAGTACTTTGCTTTCTATCTGCTTTTACAAGGTAAAATATTTTTTTGTTGTGGAATGTGTCGTGTTTGTTTCCTGTACAAGAATTTGCTTTGCACTTTAACCAGCAGTGAATCATTAACACAGAAGCAACAATTGCAATGCAAATTGTCTTAAATGCTCACTGAATTCATCAAATAGGTAAAGCCCTACAGTACATGTACTTTATTTAACATTTAACATAAGATCTTTTTTAAACTAATTATTTGCTTTGCTTTATTTGCATTTAATATAGCTTTTAAACATCTTCATGATGGCTTGTGAGTCGACATAAATGTGCAACCATTTGCTGGGTTTTCCCAATATAAACTTTCTGACCTTTGAGTAAATACCATCTTGATAGAGGTTTGCATCAGGGCTGCAGTGCAGTAGTAGCAGCGCACACACATACTCTTGATACTTTGGAGACAAGCAGGTGATGCAGGTTCAAGCCCAGCAAGTGACCTGATCTCATTCCATTTTCTCTTTCTTTCCAGTATTATTTCCTGTCCCCTCTTCACTGGAAAGATTTAGCTATTTCTAGATTTTGCATCTTAAACAGGCTTTCTCATTTGTGCCCACACAAATGCAAGCTTCATCTTGCCCCAAATATTATGGAGATTGTCTAGAGAGCTCATTATACACCTGAAGGGATAGTAAAAAAAAGAAATTCAATGAAAATGAATTTACTCATCCTCAAGTTTTTCCAAATATGACTTTCTTTATTCTGGGGAACATAAGAGAAGGTATTTTGAGAAATTGTCAAAACTGTTTGGTTACCATCAATCTTCAAAATATTATTTTTTTGTTAAGCAGAACAAAGAAAGTCATACAAGTTTGGAACGACACAAGGGTGAGAAAATTATAACAGAATTTTCCGAATTTCTTTAGTGAACTGTTCCTTTAATAATAACAAATGTTCTTCAAAGTTTCCTTTTAGTTATCCTTTGGTCTTGACTAAACGGAAGGCATGTTGTTTGCCCAATGCCTTGATAGAATTATTATTCATACTAGTTAGAATAATCAGTTGATCCAAGTTTAGAGGTGAGTAAGACAACCACAACCAATTGTATTACATTCCCATGTATCCCACTGCAACTTGTGACTGGAATTTAAAGTAACCTTAAGTTACTTTGAATGCAGTGAGTTTACAGTGTGCTTCTATCAAAAATAGGTTTGAAAAGTTACATTTTAGAGGATTTAGAGAAAGTATTTGGAGAAAATTTGGAGAAAAACAGTGTCTCTCTTTTTCCCTTTCTGCCCACCTACCACCAGTAACTCATTCAGGATCGCAACCCCTCAGCTGTGAACTCCATGACTCTCTCTCACTGCCTTTCACCCCTAACAACCGTGGCCCCCCTTGTATGACCCAAAAGCGGCTGTAACTGGATCCAGCCTCAGAGCCTTGGCCATGACGTCACCTTGTGCTGCCTTTAGAGGCCCGGGGCCCCTCTCTTTTTCCGAGATCAGGTTTCCATGGCCTTGTGTCTGTGCTGTCAGCTCTTAAATTTTGAGGTTACTCGCGAGCATTGTCTGCTTGTCTTCCAGCTGATCCAGGGTCAGGTTCACAATGATCGTCCTCCCCGCTGACACTCAGTCGGAGAGGGACAGTTTTTTTTAGTTTTTTTTAACTCAAAACTATTTAACATGCGTTTTACTACTTTGTTTTGGAGTTTCATGTTTTGCTGGAAGTGTCAGAAAGATTTAGTCTCTTTTTTCATGCCTTATTTGTCTTTTTAATTTTTTGGATAGGCTGTTTTATTATTGTCCTGTTATTTTTTGTGTGTGAACATGCTAATGTGGTTAGCATTGGCTTTTTTTTTTGCATTAGATATGCTTTAGAATCTTAGATTGGGTTTCCATTTCTAGCTGTCTGCCAATGTTCCCAAGATAGCACACTCATTTGGCAAGCAGCCCCCATTTCGTAAAAAAATACAGAGTTGTTAATTCTGAATACTTGACTTTTAAATCATAATAGCGTCACTGCAATGCTACTGTTAACACCCATTAAGCATTTCTATCTGCTCTAAATTGTAGGTTTTTTAGAACTATATTAATGTCTTGAACAAACAAGCCAACCAGTGTTTTTTTTTCTCCCATCAGGCAATAAGACTACTTTAGCCACAGCAACTGCTACTGTTGCCCATAATACATAATTAATGTCAACATGAACATGTCGGTTTGCCAGCAGTGACATCACAAATGTTTCATAATGTTTCACAAATGTAGAATGGCTGGAAATGTTTTTTCTTTTTGCTGGCATCTTGCCCTCATTCCTGCTCCAAAAACCAGTTTGCCATTCAGTTCACTGATTATCAACTTAGAACACTTCCCTGATACTGGAAGGAAAGTTGACATAAATCAAGTGTTGTGACTGTTATGATGTTATTTAATGTGATCGCTTCTCTTATCGCTGTTCCATTTGCACACCAAGACTTCCTTTAAGGCAATACAACTTATAGTTTACTATATAGGCAATATATAGTTAAGGTGTGTGGCAAAATTAAATTTCCCACAACCCTCTGACTGACTTAAATTCTGTATATGAGACAAAGACCCTTAAAAAGGTACAATCAGTCCTGGCCGACCCAAGTCACCCCCCGAACAGCTGCTTCATTTTGTTGCCGTCGGGCCGCAGATTTTGTCTGCCTAAATGCAGGACCAACAGACACAAAAACTCTTTTGTCCCTGCTGCTATAGGTGTTTTTTAATAAGTCAATGTGAGAGTTGTGGACTTCTGTGTAGTATGTATTTACATTTACATGTATTTTCTTACTGATTGTATGGCTGTTGTTTTGTATAACCTGTGTGTTACTCATGTCACATGCTGCTGCACAACGAATTACCCCCCGGGGATAATAAAGACTCCTTGAACTTGAACTTGAACTTTTTCACTGTATCAGTATTTAGTTTATGGTGTTTGGTATTAGGGTTGCAAATTTCTGGAAACTGTTGGAAAAGTTGTAAACTTTCCATGGGAATTAATGGGAATAAACTGAAAATGTGCAAAACTGCAGGTTAACCTATAACAGGGAACTTACATGTAGTTGAGAAAAAACCATAATCTTGGTTAAAACAACTTTTAATTCAAATTCAGTTTAATTTCTGTGTAATAGGGAATATGTTTATTTTATTCAACATTCATGCTTTTTTTTGTTTTGCTGTTCAATGAAAGAATCAATTAAAGTTCTACTACTCATACTCATATTTTGTTTGTGTATATGATACAGTTTGTCTAAATTACCCAACATTTCCAATTAATTCCAGTAAATTCCGCCCCTTTGCAACCCTAGGTGGTATTAATTAAAGTCTAATGTCCAATATAGATGTTTTTTATTATTAATGCTTAATATGCAAATAAATTAAATATTTCTTAGTTTCTCTTATTATTTGGAACTTTATCCAAAAGATATTAATAACAAATGAATAATATTTCTGACACCAGTGCAATAACCACTGCCTCATATTGTATAACACTTGAGTTAAAAGCAGAATAATGAATAAATAATTAATAATTATTTAATAAATAATTGCGCTTTTCTTATTAAAACATTAACTGTTTATTGAACAGTTGGTTTGTATAATGCTTAAGCAAACCTTCACCATGGTAAAATCAGACTGCCCAGGTATGCTTTCACCTGATAGGTTAACATTGAGTTCATATATCAGTTTTTCGGTTTTCGTTGTGCTTCTTTTAAAAGAAGAAGCAAAAACGTTAATTTACTTTTGTATTAACTGTTATCTGCTATGGTTGTGTTTCCAGGTTGTTGGAGACGGACAGTAAGTCTTTAAAATCTGTGAATGGCTCTCGAAGGAACAGTGGCTCATCACTGGTGTCTAGTTCCTCAGCCTCCTCCAATTTGTCGCACTTGGAGGAGGATTCGTGGATCCTGTGGGGACGCATAGTCAACGAGTGGGAAGATGTGTGGAAGAAGAAGGAAAAACAACTAAAGGTAAGCAGATATACTATACATCAAGCTACAGTGTGCAAATCAGATTTATGCCATGTATTATATGAACTGAACATATGGAATTCCAGCTATTAATTTTTTTATTTAATCACAACAGTACATGAGGTTTAGAGAACAGCTGCAGCAACATCAAATATAGTGCACAAGTATACAGCTAAACAGATTTATTGCTGTTGCAAAATAGTAAAACGCATTACAAAGAGGGTCATAAAACATATGGCCCATATTAAATAATATGCGAGTGATTTATCGGTAATGCTGCTGTGTTCATTAATAAAGAAAAACTGTAAATGTATTCAGCAATGCATTGCCATTGCTGAATGAGGCGACGGACAGAAGTAACAGGAAGGTTGGCTCACAGAAAGAAAGGATTGTATTTACTGATGACAGCCTTTGCCACAAAGTAGCTTTTCTAGAGCAATTGTAATGATATATTTGAATAATAAATATTCAACATTTATTATACAAATGAGTTTATAAAAACCCCCATGGGGTGTGATGGAATGTGGTTTATAACCTTCATAGTGAGCCTACCATGTGGTGTTTGCTCCTGGTATGTAGCACATTTAGATAGCTCCATATGACTGTTTTGACCAATGAATGACCAATATTTATAAGTAGGTCTCCAGAAACATAATCCAAATGATAAAAATATATATCATAAGACGGTTTTATAACTTTTGAATGGCTGGTGGAAATCTTTTATCAAGTAGCGCTTTCCGAAACATTCCTCTAAAACTACCTTCTGAAATATTTTCCATTTCTTCCTGAATTAATATTTCTACAGTGTTTTACACATCTCACTCTTACATTAACATTTTCACGGAAACGACGGGAAGAAAGAAAATGATATAAATCACATAAGCAAATTTTGCAGTTGCCTGCACAGTATTGCTAGCCTGGATGCCAGCCCGAACCCCGCCCACAACATTTTTTGATCGGGAAGTTCGGTCTGGACTCGCTCCATTGAGGAGTAATTATGATCGGTTCAGAAATCGTCGGGCCAATCAAATTGCCAGGGCGGGCTTTATACGATGATGGACAGATGATCTGCAGGGACGTAATCCTCACGTTATCAAAGAGCGCTTGGGTTGAACTGGTTTCCCTCACAGATGACTGCCGCTGGAGAACTGAGATGTAGAGATTTCCGCTATCGCGTCTGTTGTAAAAGAAATCGACAGCGCATTCATTTTAAAAGACGAACATAGAACTGCAATCAAGGCATTTGTCGATCGGAAAGATGTGTTTGCCGTCCTTTCTATGGGATTCGGCAAAAGTTTAATTTATCAGCTGGCTCCGATGGTAACTAAGAAGATGGGACGCAATGAAAACCCTGTGGTCGTTGTGGTTTCTCCTTTGGTCGCACTCATAGAGGGCCAAGTAAAAGAAGCAACACTCGTTATTTTACTTCTTCCAGCGTGCGTGCATTTGAGTTCTGTTGTTGACAACTGTGCTATGCAAAGTAGTTGACTTACTGCGTTGCTCTCATTGGTTGTAGGTCTATCCAATTGAGTGCAGAGTTTTTTTTTTCCTGGTTCGGTTAAGACACGCCTCATAATCAAAGCCCTATGAAGCAGTATCAGACTCACATTCTGACTAGAATATGAGTATGACGAAGTCAGGCTACAGTATTGCCACTTTCCCACAGAACTTACTGAGCTCAGTGAGACTGAAAAATGCCGTTTGTGTTTACTGTATGACTTCTTACAAGCCAAAAGGGAGGATCTAGGGCTCTTCTAGCAAAGCAGCAACAGAAGCCCTTTGTAAAGCCTGGCGTTTTAACAAAGACACAATCTCCAGCACACCCCTAGAGTGCTTTTGAAGAATCTCAGTGCTAACAGTGTATGTAGGTGGACTCGCATCTCAGACCCTCACAAGAATGAACAGCTGTAGATATCAGCCGTCTGAGCTGTGCAGATGAGCACAGGAAACAGCTTAATCAGGTCAAACATAATTCGCTTACAAAAATATCGAGCTGTGCTGTAGAAGTCTGACAAGATTATATTTAGCAGCATAAAAGGGTCTTATCCTGAGTTACAAACTAAACCCTTGGGAGAACATCTGAATACTGACAATCTTGAAACCTCCAGTCATTTTAAGGTGTAACACTTCAAATAAACTAATATCTTCTTAAACTCAGTAGATTTAGCAAGTCTGGGAACATGAGAACTTGCTCTTAAGCAAGGCTGTTATGTCCTGACTTTCAGTGTTAATATTTAAAAGTGGTTTGTTGTTGTTTTTTTCATAGGAACTGGTCAGGAAAGGCATTCCGCATCACTTCCGAGCAATAGTGTGGCAGCTGTTGTGCAATGCCCAGAATCTACCCATAAAGGAGCAATACTCTGAGCTGCTGAAGATGACTTCGCCCTGTGAAAAACTCATCCGCAGGGACATTGCCCGTACCTACCCCGAGCATGAGTTCTTTAAGGAGAAGGATAGTTTGGGTCAGGAGGTGCTCTTTAATGTTATGAAGGTAGGTTTTTCTCCTTGCTTGGGCAAATGGAGCAATGATTTCCATTAGAGATTGAAAGAGAGAGTTTGAATGGACAGTGTGATAGACAGGATGTCGACCAATTTATCAGCACATTGACATAAAATCTGATCATTTAAAAAAAATAAGAAATTTACTCCGAGACTGCTCATCAGTAAGTTTAATTAGATTTACTGCAGCAAGATTCCCACTGCATCTCTGTAGTTTCCCTAAAACACCTTGTATGCCAAGTTATGCATATAAAACGTTTTAAGTATTTGGTGCACACATGTGTTGTAAAACTGATGAAGATGTTTTCTTAATTTGCAGGTGTTTTTCTATTTGCATGTGTTTTCTTCAGTTGCAGCGCATTGAGCTCTCTCGGCCACCGTAATATAAGCATATTTTGAACATAAAAGTAAAGTGGTAACTCAGAATGATGAATGCTGTTTTTATTTTCTTCCCAACATCATCAGGTCTAGCACTGACAATAATTTATATTATCCAATATTGTGTTTTGTCCATCATTAACAATAATTGTAAAAAAAAAAAGATTTTTAGTTGTTTATATACATGATTTAATGTGATGACACAGACAACAGCAGGACTATTAGGCTTCTGTCACTTTAAGACTGAATGCATGGACGAATATACTTACACGCATCCGGTTTCTTTCTCAGCTGTTCACTTATGACATAACTGAGAGAATATTGCAGAGACGGGTATTTTGAAATAATTTGGTGTGTATGTGTCCATTCAAGCCCAAGTAAACTCAAGAGGAATCAATTCGGTGTCCCGAGCATTGTCTGAAAAGCACCTCCCTCTCTCTCTCTCTCTCTCTCTCTCTCTGCGTGTGCGCGCTTCGGGTGTGTAAGGCTGTGCGCACAGATAACAACGTGTGAGTCCCGATTTCCGCCTCTTCCGCGTTTAAAATAGTTTGAATGTGTAAATTGTCAAGAAAAACCACGTCCAAATGATAAACTTTCACTCTATGGTTAAACTTAGCAGTTACCGGTAATCCGCGAATCACATGCCGTGGGGCCTGTTCCGTACCGTGGGGCCTGTTCCGTACAGGTCACGAATCAACTGCGATCTGTTGCACCCCTAATAATTAATTATGTTGCAATAATGAGACCGAAAAGCATGTGCGTCAATATTATTTATTTATTAATTCAATTCGTTTTAATTAATTCGTTCATTATTTTTTTCTATTATGGACAGTAGATAGCCTAATAAATGAAACACAAAGCCCCTTTTAACAAGTAGGCCTATCAATAATTATTTATTTGTTATATTATCTGGAATAATTATGAAAACCCGTGCAGCAGGAGTCAGGACTATCAATTTATTTATATATTCAGTTTAATTTTCTATTGGTTATAGATAGGACTATATACTTTTTTTTAATTAAAATTAAACTGCATGTGTCCATTGATTGTGAAGTTAGACATCGAAAATTGCAGATCAAGCGCATGGGGCTGCATGTTTTTTCTTGTTATGGATTGTAAACTATTTTCCGTTATTACAGTTAACTACGCGCAGTGATATGGAACTGTAATGCGGTCAAACCTGCTTGGAACTACTTTAGCCATGCGTTTCCCTGAAAATAATTGTACACCATAGAACGTTCTCAACCAATCAGAATCAAGCATTCAACAGGCCTGTAGTATAATGGTGTTATAAATAACATTTTAAAGCTGCATTCCGTAACTTTTTTGGGTTAAAAATGATCCAAAATACATTTTTGAGCAAGTACATAACCAGCAAGTGTTCAAAACTATCTGCTTGCCTTACCTCGATTCAAAACGGTAAGTTTGTAATAATGTTTTTAATTCCAGTGGTACTGGTGGATTTCTGCGGGAGATTCGAGCATGTCTTTGCGTCATTACGTCACATCTGTACACATAAAGAAGGAGTCTCGGCTAGTAGGCTATATTGCGTGTGAGGATGTTGGAGGGGGAGATTTATAGCCTTTTCTCACAGCACTTGATATAATTAAACTTATCAATTTGACGGCGGAAAGGTTCAAACGACAATCACCAGTGACAACTAAATTCACCCGTTGTAAAATGCAAAAGACTTCGTAGTGGCTACAGAAAAAAAGAGACTGCAACCGGCCCATGTGAAAACAAGGATAAATATCGGAAGGGCTTTAAATGTAGTCACGCAATGCTGATGTTGTTAACATTAACAATTTGAGAACAAAGTATAATTTGCACGGTTTGATGTGATATGATAAGCAATCTTTAGATTTAATCAGCGCGATTTACTGCAATGCTTTTTTTCCCTTAGTTGGTCAGAACAAAAGATGATGTTAGTTTCTTGTTCAGATGACATTTTCCAGAGAAAATTCTTATGTTGGTCATACTTCCAAAAAGTAGAATCTGGGATTCCGAATGACAGTATCCACAGCGGCGCGGTGACTGACAGCCGAACATTCTCCTCAAAACATTGGATTCATCCGCGCTGTGCCATGCCGAGGCACAACCCACGTAAAGTTGATAATTCCGCGAATAACTGCAATTGCAGATTTCGAACAGAGATGGTGACAAAGATGAAAAATTAAAGACTGCAGCTTTAAATAAGTTTATTTTCATTAATATTAGTATATTAATATAATTAATATTATATAATATTTATTCAAATTGTTTTTTTGTCTTTTTTTTTTAGTTACTCTTTATCTGCCTGTCATGTATCTTGTTGCCTCTATTTGGGTTTTACAAACAAACAAAAACAGCATGTGTTGTCAATTAGGTACTTTTATTTTTTTTATTTTAGCAAAAAATTACAGTGCTCTAACAACTGTTGTAAGCTCAATACATTAATAAATAACAATTGACATTGAACATGATATAGATGTAATGAAGACCAAGTTCCAGTGAAATATCTTCACAATCCTCTTTATGTACTTCATTATGTGTGTATTCTGAGTGGCAGTTTCTCTCAGGTTATGGTACATGACATCATCTGAAATTGATCTGAAAAAAATACACAATTGAGTTTAAAGTTACAGTGTGTCTCTTCCAGTTGATTATGTAAAACAATTAAGTTCACGAAGGCAAAAATTAGCAAAAATGGACAGTATGTGAGCCCTGTACCGTTAAAAGGAAAAATAAAATTATATAAAGTCATGAGATAGATTTGATTGTTCTTGTGACTTGGTTTGTTTAGGTGTTTGTTTAGGTGTAAAGTAATAATAATAAAAAATCGAACAATATCAATCATAAATTCAATACCTCTGTTACTTTGTGGAGAAGAAAAGATGAATATCCATTACTGAACAGAGCTGCTCAATTGCATGTTCTGTTAAACTAAAAAGAGACATGATTGGTAGGAAACCAGTTACAATTTTTAAAGTTATAATTTATAGACATTTTAAGAAAGAAAGAAATCATTTACCTGTTGAGAGTATGTTAACAGTCTGTGTAGTTGTATAGCTGAGCTCCAGAAAATTAGTATGAGGTGGCTTTGTCAGTTACAGATTTGGAAAACAAAAAGGCGGGAATAAAGAACCCTAAACTCTTAACAGGAAGAACCATTACAGCAGGGTTCTTCAGGGAAGATACTGTTCTAAATAGAACTGTTTCTGTGCGACATTTAATTTTAGTGTAATTTCTAGAAATTTAGCTTTTATTTCGATTAGTTTTTTGTATTACTCTTATTATAATTTTTTTTTAAATATATTTCCAGTTAATTTAGTGATTCAGTTAAGGCGGAATTTCAATTTCGTTGAGCACACCCTAAAAGTAGTCCAATCTCAGCGAAATTTGGTTTGTTTCCATTTCTAATGAAGAAGAGTTGATTGGGAGGGTGAGAGCAGAAAATTTCAAAAGTTTAACAATAAGGGCCACCCTAATGTGCACCCCTGTTTATAGGTGTGGGTCATTTAGAATATGAACCTCCAGATCTTTACACACTACACCACCTGACATCAGTTTAAGTTTAATGTCTTTTAAAGCCAGCTCACCCAAACAAAACACCTAAAGATCACTTGATCACTTGTTTTTAAAGAGTGGATGGGTAACTCTCAGGCTTGTCTGGGGGAAGAACAGAGCTGATTCTGCACTTAACTCAGCAATGATTTTATAAACGATTGTCCAGCTCTCACCAAATCTCACTTTTGTGTTTACAGGCTTATTCCCTGGTCGATAGAGAGGTGGGTTACTGTCAGGGAAGCGCTTTCATTGTCGGCCTTCTTCTAATGCAGGTATTAAAACAGTCAAAAATATTCCACACATAAAGCTGTATTATGAAACACTACAATAAAATATTTAAGATAATGCTGAATGAGCAATGTAAAACATTTTTAATGTGATATGAATAATTCTGTGATGTTAGTTAGTTATATATATATATATATATATATATATATATATATATATATATATATATATATATATATAAATATATATATATATATATAAATGGTTTAGCACTAATAATAATAATAGTAGCTATTACATAATAATAATATTAATGGTTGTTATTATTATTTCTTCAAATAAATGTATATCTGTTGGTAGTGTGTTTCTAGTCTGTAATTATATGATGTATAATTGTCTTCTCACAGATGCCAGAAGAAGAGGCTTTTTGTGTGTTTGTGAAGCTGATGCAAGATTACAGGCTGAGAGAGCTCTTTAAACCCAGTATGGCTGAACTGGGCCTCTGCATGTACCAGTTTGAATATATGATTCAGGTCAGTGACTGTCTGAGACCGACTGTCAAAATCGGACTTTTAAGCTTAGCTTAACGCTCTAACTCCCCAATAAATTCAATTAATGTGTTTTATGAATTGCATTCTTGCTTTCTCTCTGTGATTTTACAGTCTATTTTGGTTTCTCCCTTCAGGAGCAGCTTCCAGAGCTCCACGTGCACTTCCAGGCCCAGAGTTTCCATACCTCCATGTATGCTTCATCCTGGTTTCTCACCATTTTCCTTACCTCGTTCCCTCTTCCTGTAGCTACCAGGATCTTTGATATATTCATGTGTGAGGTAAGACTTTATCGTTCTCTCTCTCTCTCTCTCTCTCTCTCTCTCTCTCTTCTCTCTCTCTCTCTCTCTCTCTCTCTCTCTCTCTCTCTCTCTCTCTCTCTCTCTCTCTCTCTCTCACACACACACACACACACACACACACACACACACACACACACACACACACACACACACACACACACACACACACACACACACACACACACACACACACACACACACACACACACACACACACACACACACACACACACGTACGTTTTACATGCTAAGCTAATTGAGAACACAGAACACTGGTGTATTTTAGTGGTCTGCTATCTCCCTCTGTTGGCTTCACAATGCTACTGCAAATATTTTTGGATCTTGAGTTTTCACCAGTAGGTGTCCTTACAGGGTTTAGAGGTAGTGTTTCGTGTGGGGATGGCCATCCTGCAGATGAATCAGGCCGAGCTCATGCAGTTGGACATGGAGGGAATGTTGCAGGTGGGGTATTTATCATCATTTCAAGGATAAACTTGTATTTGTCTTAATTATAGTGGTTATGTTAGCCAATACTTTCTGTAGAAGCTACCACAACATGATTAGAGTCTAGACTGTTATCAGTTTCCGCTAAGCAGTACACAAATGAATTTGTTGTACAAATATGCATAATTCAATAATAATACGCAGTTTTGTTATTTTTACTCTCTATTGCAGCACTTTCAGAAGGTCATCCCTCACCAGCTGGATAGTGGACCAGACAAAGTTATTCAGGCTGCTTATCAAGTCAAGTACAATGCCAAGAAAATGAAAAAGTGAGTTTACATTATGTTAAGTGAATTTCTTTTTTTAGTATGATTTTGGACACAAAACACATTCTGAACTGTTTCTTTATGCCTTTACAGATTGGAAAAGGAGTACACTACAATCAAAACCAAGGAGATGGAAGAACAGGTGGAGATCAAGGTGAGACCGCCCAGCTTGCATTTAGCTAAAATGATGTTTTTTTTTGTTTGTTTTTACAGTTATTGACATTGTAAGTCTAGCAAAGCTTTTAATATTAAAAAAAGTTATAACATTATAAATTGTTTTAAATTACCTTGGCATTAAATAAAAAAATAAAAAAAAATAAACAGCTGCCGAGGGAGCAATAGTAATATTGACAATCTGACTGTAATCAATCTCTCTATATTTTTCCCTCTTTTGGAAAGTCACGGAAATGATATATGGATTTTTTTTTTCTTTTTCACCACTGTAGACATTTATCCAACTATGACTGCTTCCGCTTTTGAGAACCCCGGAAATGTGAAAAGAGTCCATTGTCTATAATTACCTCTTATTTTCTTTACCAATTTTAAAGTAGAAAATAATTTAAATACTGTTAAATATGTTTAATTGAAACCCACACTAAACAATAATATTGCCAAATAGCTCATAGCATTGTCTAGTACATTGCAATATTTTATTGATGTATTGCAGTCTAACACTGTTAATGTTGACACTCTATTACAGAGACTACGCACAGAGAACAGACTCCTGAAGCAGCGAATAGACACTCTGGAGAAAGTGAGTGATAAATAGAAGGGAAAGCAAATCATTAATCAATCAAACACATCCATACACCATTGTCATCCAAGATTTGCTTATCTTGAAATGATCTCCTTGCTGTCAGTTATCACAACTCTTTGGTGTCAACAATAACAAATGCTCGTGCACACACCCTATTGGGTGCATCATAACTAACTGCTTGTGTGCATGTCATTGGATAACCTGTTGTGTTTTTTGAGGCTGGTAAGTACAGTGCTAACAGAAAGAAAAATATGGGTATGAAATGTTTGTACACTACATGTACTTATTTCTGGCCAGTGGTTGTCTGACAGACTTTTTTTGAGCATGGGTGAAAACCCAAACCTGCAGTGGTGCATGTCAGAATATTCTCTGCTTGTAAAGGCATGTTTGTGTCATGCATGAAAAGAAAGCCCACAGTGCAGGTCATTTAAAAAACAACAACAACAAAAAACATGTCCACGTGGTTTTCATCACCTCTCAGCATGGAACCATTGTACTAAAATAAAGTACTAACGCCTTCAGAAATTCACCATTCGTAACCCAGGGCTGCGTTCGTCACACAAAAATACTAGACCTAGAGCCTTTAAAATAACACTAATTCCGTTTTATTTATTCTCAGCTTTCTGACTGTCCTCTGCTTGACCTCCTTTTACACTTTTCACTCTGTTGTGGTGCACAATCTTGCTTTATTCCATAGCCACAGCACAAACACCATGCACAAACCATGTTCCTTTTCTACCCCACCTCACTATGATGGTTTCAAAGCTGCATATTTATTCTGATATAGCAAATGTTCATCTAGAACAGTGTCTTTTCCATGTTTTTATGTAGGGGTACGAAAAAGAACACTGTTTTCTGTCAAATCAGTCTTATTGTTTTGTTCTGTGTTGTAATATCCTTTGGTCTCTCTCCTCTCTTGCTGTTTCCTTTATGGATTTTCTCCGTTTTTAGGAAAGTGCTTCTTTGGCAGATAGATTGATTCAGGTACAATTTTCACTCTCCTCTCCACCCTTTAGCTCTGTTTTTCCCCTTTAAGAACCCAGCAGTTCTGTCTTTAGCTTTGCTTCATTTCCTTGATTTGCTTAAATATCTCACACCTACTCACAATCAACAGTGAAATAAGGCAAACTGCAATTTCTGACTTCAGGGAAGAGGTATCACTGTGCTTATTATCTTTGGGTTGCAATCCTGATAATTGGTTTCAGTAATGGTTACAACTACAATATTAGATACAACTACAATAATCCCCCCTTTGATAGTCAAAGCAATTTTATGTGCAAAATTGAAAGCCTAAAACTGCTAACAGCATGACAGAGCTTGAGATCCAGCATTATTTTTCTCCATCAATACATCCGTTTCCACCCATTCCGATTCTCCGCTCACCCCTCATCCATAATTGGTCACGTCAGGGTCAGGTGACACGAGCCCAAGAGGCGGAGGAGAACTACCTGGTCAAGCGGGAGCTGGCCACAGTCAAACAACACAATGAGGAGACCAGTGCACAGCTGGAGCAAGCGCAAAACGCCATCCGACAGCTCCAGCAACAGCAGCCATTTGCGGTAAGGACAGTTCAGAGACAGCGCCTCCTCCTGGATGAGAGGCCTGCTCTTCGAACACAGAAACCGTATGACTACACTAAGAAATATTTTGCTCCCTCATGTAACAGTTTGCAGTGGCAGCTGTACTTGATTCTTTTGCGGTTGCCTAGCAGCAAAATCTCAGCGACCACAGAGCTGCAAACGGCAGCTCTTGTAATGATGCTCTTTGCATGCATGACTGCAGATCAGAACAGCAGAGCTGGGGTCATTTGCATGCACAACTCTTGCCAAATGGGGTTTATGTATATGTAGGAGTTTTGTCAAGTATGAGTGTAACTTTAGCAGAGAGTCTTGAAGCCGCTGCCTGTTTGATAAAATCTACATTCTCAACAGGAGGGTGAGATATGGCTCATCAATTATTAATGTGCACATGCTCAACACAGAGAAAAAGTAGATAATGTGTCATGTGCTGTGGGGAAAGTGCTGTTTTACATAATGTTGTGTTGCAATCTCATTACGGTTTAATGTTGCAGGTGGTAAAACCATGAGCTTGAGTGGAGAGATACTTTTTTTTTTTTTTTTTTTGAAGATTTTATGTAGTTGGTCAAATCAAACCACAAGAGCTGTTCAAATGTTATATCCATATGTATTCGATTATAACACAACATTTTTTCATTTAGAAGGGGAACCCACGCTACTCTGAGGAGTTCATCCTGCAGTTGGAGAGAGAACTGGTTCAGGCCCGACTTAAGGATGCTGAGTCTCAGTGTGCACTGAAAGAGATGCAGGACAAGATCCTCGACATGGAGAAGGTGGTAGAACTTTATTACCATTCTCAAGCACACACATTCACCTGTAGGCAGTTTTGTTTTTCCACCATAGTGGTGCTGGTACTCGTTCATGTTTATAGCATTAGTTGGCAGAGATTTTTTTTTCCTTAAGAAATTCAAACTAGCAGTATCAGCAGAGAAATATGGTATCGGTGCATCTCTGATTAAAATTCTAGCAATCAATTCACACATATGATATTATTATAAAATATATATATATTTTAGATGGACGGTGTGGTTGGATTTGCTTTGCAATTCAACACATGTTGTAAGAAAAAGCCTTTTTATTTATTTTGAATTTTTTAAAGAAATTTGTTTTGTTTTTTTCAGTAAGGATGATTCAAATTGATAATAAATAACATTAAATAGTTACTTTTTTTTATTTTTACAGAAATTCTTTTGCAAAATACTGCTGAACTTTCTATTCATCAAAGAATCCTAAAATAAAACGGTTACCACAAAAACACAGCACAACTGTTTTTGGTATTTATAATAATAACATGTTTCTTGAGCAACAGATACAATATTAAAACACCAATATATATTGCTATTTGAATCAATTTTAAATTATATTAAAATGGAAAAATTGTTTTAAATTGTAACACTTAAAAAAAAAAAAAATCTTTTAAACTTAAATGTTGCATCAGATGTTTCTTGCATAGACTGCTTCAATGATTTTATTGAAAGTGACCAAGTTTGGTGCAATCTAGATTTGTTTAGCATTACCCAGGCTGCTGTTTTTCTGAAAACTTTACTGTGTTCCAACTCCTAAACAAATTTCAGCTGTTATTTGTTTAAGACCAACACGCTTGAGGGGCAGAGCTGCCTCTGCTTGTTTTTCTACACATTGAATTAATTCCAGGTTTGGCGCCGGCTACAGCAACCTGACTGCAGAAAATGGCTTTCTGGTGTATAAGCTGACTTTTGTGTATATTTGTTTCTGTTATAGAGAAATACATCCTTGCCAGATGAGAATAATGTGGTACGTCTTCAGGAGGAGTTAATTGGTGTAAAGCTGAGGGAGGCAGAGGCTCTTACAGGGCTTAAAGAGCTTAGACAGCAGGTTAGAGACCTGGAGGAGCACTGGCAGGTGAATACACACACTCACATAGATAGCTGTTTCATTCTCAATATTGCAATGTGTGTAATTCCCACAAGCTTGCTGTGTTGCTGTTATACCATATGCTCTCCTTTTCATGCTTCCAATTAACACAAATGTTTTAGTAAGATATTTTTGGCGTTGTGTGCAGAGGCATCTGGCGCGCACAGCAGGCCGCTGGAAAGACAGTCCGCGGAAAAATGCAATGAGCGAGCTTCAGGATGAGCTGATGAGCGTGAGGCTCAAAGAGGCAGAGGCACAGGCTGAGCTCAAAGAGACCAGACAGAGGATGCTGGAACTGGACACCCAGGTCTTGACACACGTCCCTCACACAGTGTCGGGCATTCATGAGATCCTATTTTCACATCTTTACTCATATTTTTCAAAGAATCATTATTTGTTCAAGACTTAAGACACAGACTTGCTTAGCCAGACTTTTTTCCTGGCTACATCTACATCTTTTGTTATGTTTAGGATGGGTAATCAGATTTTGCCAAAATAATTGACTGCAGTGCAACAAAATGACACTTTATTCTAATAAAACTACTGAAATGATGGGTTTGAGCCCTTTACTGCAGGCCACTGAATTTAAAGAGGAAATAAGTCAGAACACATATACCTCCGGTTTCACAGACAAGGCTTAAAGGTGCTCTATGGAACTTTTAGCGGCCTCTAGTGGTGATGTTTCAGATTGCAACAAGAGCGCTCGTGCTCGTGTGCGTGTGCGATCTCAGGAGCGAGCATTCACTACCGGCCACACTGAGACTTTCAACGCAACGGCGAAAGCATCACACAACATGCTGGAAACTCATGTAAACTCCCACTACAACGTTACAATAATAGGCTACTTTTATCAGCTTGACGTTGAACTAATGCTCCATGCTCGTACCATGATAACGTTACATTGACTGCATTTAGCCGACATGTGATGTTATCTAGCATAGCCTACGGCATTTCACTAACTATTCGTGTATCTTTCACAATCAACAATGTCAACATAGGTGAATGTATAATATGATAACGAAAACGGTTAGTGAACTAGACTGAACAATGTCAGTGTAACAGTAAGACAGTAGGAAGTAACATTACTGTACTGAACGTGTCTGGAAATGTTTATTATAAACAATATGATAGTGGGATGAATTACGTTATAGCGTAACGATCTATAACGTAGATCTAGTACATAAAACAAGTATCCTAAAGCACCTTTTCTTATCCTGGAACAGTCTTTTGTATTCATTCCATGTCTCATGTAGTTTACCTTGCCATTTCATTTGAGTTTACTAATAATTCAAAAGCTCTGCCTATGTTGATCCGTGTTTTCGTCCTGAGTCGATCAGAATCACGTTTGGCCTGACGAGCTTCAGCATAAAACTTTGTTAAGCTACCATGTTGTTACCTGCTGTGCCGTCGGTCGCATAGACTGTATATAAGGAGAGAGGCTCGGGAGCGCGCATGCACGTCACATCCGATGGATTTCGCGGTAAATCCGACCCGGAGACTTCAGATATAAATATGAATATTGGCCTTCAGAGGTAATTGCAAAACCCGACAAGTGGATCATTGTAATGTGTGATTACAACCCCTTCACACACAGGCAATAAAAAAAGGATTCATTTTAGAAGAAAAGTTCCATATAGCACCTTTAAGCCTAGTCCCAGACTAAATTGCATGTTTTAACTGAAACAACATCTGGGCTCTATAGCCACAGCAATTGTCTCAGGAAGAGGCCGTCTGACTGACATGTAAAGTGACAATCACAATTTTGTTTTGTTCAACATTTTGTTTTGTTTAGGAGTGGGCACATGTGGTGACAATTACAGACCTTTCTGCTATAACAGACTATTGATGCACTCATTGTTTACCTGCATATGCAGCATATATTTCCTTATCAGTACAGTACTGTACTTTTCCTGATCTTCCATTTATAGATGAGAGAACACTAATAACATCAGAAGTGAACAATTGGGAATCCAAAGGGTTAGCCAAGCTTGGAAAGGAATACTTTTCCTGTATTACTTTCCACATGAGAACACATCTGTTTAAATTCAACTAAGTGTCACAAACAAAACGTCTAGAAGTTTCTATGTCTAGAAATTTCTTTTAGCTTTTTTTTTTTTTTTTAAATCCAGCTTTTAGTTGCTTTCTGAAGTGTTCATTGCTACAGTATTAAAAATTTAAACACAGCTTTGTTCCTGGTGGACAGTTAAAGATCACCGCACACTTGGCTCCCAGAAAACCTGTAGAAGTCGGCCAATCAGATTCAGACTTTTGCCTTCGAACGTGTTTCCAGTTTTGTGTGCCATATGCATCAGGTCAGCTAGTGGGGAATGTCTGAAGCTGAGACTAGAGAGCATACACAGATTTTAGGCCAGTAGAGGGAGACAAAGTTAATGCATTTTTACTCTGACATGATAGGCTGTATTTGTTATCAGAGTTGGCACTGCTGTCTTTTTTTTTTTAAGGAAAACTGCAAATTCTTTGAGTTTTGAATTCATAATTTTTTTACTCACTTACAGAATCAAAGACATAGTAATCAACTGCGGCGAGCAGAACTGGAGGCACGAAATCTACAGGAGCGACTGCAGGTTTTGACCAACCAGAACAAGATGTTGCATGCAGAGCTACAGGAGATGAAACGGAAACAGGCTGAAATAGAGTGCAAGGTGATGATCATTTACATGACATTAACTGAGTAGTCGCAGTCAATACCACAGCGATACCACAGCAAAGTGCAAAAATTTAGTCTTTATCCAAATAGTACTGATTTTACAGAAGGATTTATTTGATTCTAGTTACCATTACACCTTTTATGCAATTAGTAATCTGCCAAAAATGAAAATACTTTTTATGATACAAAAAAAAAGCTAAATATGCCTCATTACCACATCTTTGTATGATTTGGTTGCATTTCCTCATTCATGACTTAGCTTTAAATAGGGTTTAGTAGTTCCTGTCAGCGCTTCAGTTTTTAGAGATCAGCAGAGTAGATGCAGAGTGTGTTTCTGCTTTCAGTTAAACATACAAAATAAACCATTCAATAAAAGCCGAATATATGTTCACAGTTGTTTCATTTCAGTTTTTTCTCTTTCTCTCTCCAACAGAATAAAGAAGAGGTAATGGCAGTGAGATTGAGAGAAGCTGACAATATTGCTGCCATGGCTGAGCTTCAGCAGCAGATCTCTGAGCTTGAGATTCAGGTACAAATAAGCAAAGAATCACACTCCATCAGTCCAATTTAGTCTTACACAGCCAAGCCCAGCACATCACCGGACAGTCTATCTGTCCAATACATGACAGTAGTCTCTCCTTAGCAGAGCTGCTCATAGTTACCTTTTATATAGTATTTTTATATAGTATTGCTTTTTTTTTAGTTTCTTAGTTTCTAGAATACCTGTTAGATATTATTTTGAAAAATGTGATTATATTTTTCTGCTATCATATCATTTTGACTATATTTGTCCACAATATTTAAGTTCTAGTGTGTAAATGAGGTTTTTTTTGTTTGTTTTTTCGCACAGGGATTCTTTGTAAACATAGTTCATTATGGTTCAGTCTGACTGGAAATTGACTGGAAAAAAAAAACATCCTGAGGATGCTGTTTTTAGTCAAGAATGGTGCATTGCTGCCTTTTATGTATGAAAGGCCCCATTTTTGTATTGTGCGTTTTCAAAAACATTTCTTGGTAGATTTGGTAAGATATGTAATTTTTGTAAATAATTTTGATTGAACCAAAACCCACACAAAAAGTGCACATAATGTATGTTAGATGCCTTCAAATGTTATAAATAACATCTGTAATTCTTCTTATCTAGCTTTGCAACATGTTAAAAAACCTTCCTTATACACAGGCATCAGTAAGATGCATACACTCTTTTCAAGTAAATCAGTTGAAACTTACTGCAATTACTGCAGCTTTGACATTACAGTAAATAAGAGCATACATGTATGTCAACCGTAATTGAAACGCAGGTGTGTTTTGATTTGAGGGAAAGATTATATTAGTAAGATTTACTGGATTAAAGTGAGAAGTAAGATACGCGTTTGATCTCTTCAGAGAAAATGCTGCTGTCTGAAAATGTTGCGTTCCCCAAACAGGAAGACAAATTATTTTAAAGATTGGCTATGTATGTCATCAGTGCTGTTTTATATCAGTGTGGGGTGTTTTACTTTACTTCCTGAGACGGATATAAAGCGGGATTTTTTTTTGCATTCGAAACTAAATCTCACCTTTATGAGAGTTTGTTCATTTCGGTTGCAAGCTTTTCTCTTCAATACTTTTTTACCTGTCTATGAAGTGGGATGATGTTGGACAGTCTGCGTAATCTAACATTTAGCTGTTTCCTTTCCTTGAGAGATTTGTATTTTGCTAGATGTATGCAAGTGATTTATGTGTGCTGAAATTGCATCAAGTTCGCAATATATCAGATTAGACAAGCATGCTCCTTTTAGGCATGTGCAGCTCTTAGCTGTGGTTCTGTGGTTTTGGCTACCAACATGGCTTTTACCCTGAGGGCTGTGGGCAACAGATCTGGCTCACCATACTTTAATTCACTATTTGGCTGTTGGTACAAGACAGTGAAGATGAAAAACAATGGGTAGTTTCTTTCTCTCATTCTCTGTTTAACTATCAATCAAGAACACACCAAATGAAAGCTTATTTTCATGATTGAAATCTATTTTAATTCAGGCTAACACAGCTATTGAATGCAGTTTATTATAAGTTTCACACAGTTTATTAGTGCTGTTAAATGCATTTATTTTACATGTATAACTGTTCGTTCTGTTCTGTGTTATTTACTAAAAACTGACTTAAATGTACTTAAACCTTAGATTTACTAAAACCTTTTGTAGCTAATAGGAATTGGAGCACCAAAAAAAGAACACCCGTTTATCAGTAAATGATAGCAAACATCATTGTTATGGTAATTTATATATTCATGAAAACTTAACCAGGCATAGCAGGTCAGCAGCATCTTTACACATGCAAGATTAAGTCCATAAAGTACTAAGGGAAAATTCCGCATTATTTTGCAGAGTTCAATGTTTTTTGTGTGTGTGTTTTAATGCAGTTTAGTTCAAATTTAAACTATTTGTCATCCACACAAGTTACGCACACACACAAATAAGTTAAATAATTGTATTATATTATGAAGCATTAAGAATTCGCATAGCTATTCCTCATTGTTACCGACATAGCGTCAAACCAATCGTTTATTTGTACACCTTTCACCCACTCTTAACTTGACATGACCCATTGCTGGAAAATATAGCACCATGATGTCACCACCACAGTCTTATTCCTCTGGACTGACTCTGAGTCACCTGGTGTGAGTGTGGTTTTTATTTTCACTGGAAAGATCCACTATAAAGTAAACCTACTGTCTGACACCAGACACCAACACACTAACCCAGCTCCCCAGCATACAGGAGATGTAGACACCTTTCAGAACACCCACACGTATCAGTCCCGAGTCTGTTAATAGTTATTGTGATTGATGTGCAAGTAAGACTGAATGAAGCCTTCACAACAAAAATGCAGAGCATCAGCATTGCTTCTTTTCAGCATTGTTATGAGCTCTTGCCTAACTAAGAGTGGAGTGAAGTGGGTTTTTTTTTTTTAGTTTTAACACCTAGCAGAGCTCAGGGTTGAAACGGCTGCTTGCATGGCCCATGGGACCGCAGCTTAGCTATCTTCATTACCAGATGAGAAACCACTTCCTATCAGGCAGAGAAACGCACTAAGCAATAATCAAAGCTCACATTTTGCTTTATGCTTTACTGCACTGCATTCATATGATGGACTGTAACAGAGAGATTTAGCTCAGAACGTGTTTGTAAGATGCATGCATAAACGTGAACAAAGAAAGGGCAATAAGAGAAATCTCAGTACAGTAGTATAGTTATGAGTTGCTGCAGAGAGAAAAAGTGACATTTAGTAGAAGTGTTTCAAATCACTAGCGCCCGAAACACTGAAATGACAGTGTTTGTTTCCATGCCAACCTGATATAGAACAACAAATACTGTATGCCCCAAACATGTTTTTTTGTTTTGTTTTAACATTTAAGGTTCTTTTCTATATCTGAACTGCGAAGTTCCTTGTAAAGTTACAGGTTAAAAAAATTAAATTCGAATATTTTCAATTTTACATTTAGCATGCATCAAATTTTAAAAAGGAGTAATGTCACAATAGAGTTAGTTCCATCAGATAAGAATTGCTCAATTTAACGAAGCTGAATTTTCCCCAGAATCAGGCCAACAGTTCAACTCTAATACATCAGTTCATCAGCATCACCATTTGATCGAGTCATTGTGGCTCAGTTCTGTTCTGCTTTTTGCGTGAAACGGTTATGTTGTTTATCTGTTGATTTATAAAGAACAAAAAAATATTTTTTTAGGAAAATATTTTCAACTCTTTCTGAATGTATTTTAGCTTCTGATGAGAGTTGTTTAATTTTTACATGTAGATATATTGGCATGGAAGGCTTAAAATTTCGTAGTTTCATTTGAAATAATTTAATAAAATTTGCATTAAACTGGGACTCATACTTGAATTGTAGTCTACCTCATACTTCACAGGAAAAAAAAGTCTAAAACTGCACAAATTAGGGAAGGGATGCACAATATTTGGTCCTATATTGGTTATCGGCTGATATTACACATATTTCAAATTGAATGATATCAGTTAGCATGGGATATATCCATTTACATTTAAATTATCCATTCCATCATCTAACACTCACTTCAAGTAACTCTTCAAACACACTAATCCTGTAGTAAAACTGTTAAATGTACGCTTTAGCAAATCTCATTATAATGGTGTTATGCCTAAATTTACTTTGCATTTAAAATATTTATTCTAGCTTTTAGTAGGGCTGACTATTGACATATTTTATGATTTGATTTGATTTCAATTCACAAGCTATTAATTTAATTCCTATTTAATATCATATACTGTATATTCCACAGGTACAGTACACAGTACAGTTTTTTTTTAAAACAACTCTTTTTCAACTAAAGCTGTGAACTTTACAGGGAACCCTGTCAGTTGGTACAGTACTGTAATATTTACATGTTAAAATTAATTAGGGCTGCAACTAACAATTATTTTTATAATAGATTAATCTGTTGATTATTTTACGATTAATCTGATGGAAAAAAAAACAAAAGATTATACATGATTTTTTTTTGTAATTATGTATTTTAATAATTTTTTAAAACAATATTATTCCACATCCTACCCAATGCTGTCCTCAAAACAATGTGTAATATAAAGCCTATGAAAACAAATATAGTGCATGTATCTATGTAGGCTATGCTGTATAATATGAGCAAAAAAGGGTTAAAATACATTCTAAACCTAAAAACAACTGACTGCTTACTATTTTAAAGCAGAAATTAAAACTTACAAATATTTAAAATAAACAAAACCCCAAAATGTTAACTTGTACAAAGGCATGAAGAACACACACATTCACTCTTCCAGTGATGGAGTACTCGAGTCCTGGACTCGGACTCGAGTCCGACTCGAGTCCTTATTCTCTGGACTCGAGTCCGACTCGAGACTCCATTCTCTGGACTCGTGACTCGACTCGGACTCGCGGACTGATGACTATACTTGGACTCGGACTCGAGAATATATAAAATCGGACTTGAGAATTCATCAAATGAATGACATTGTTTCTGACTAAATAGGTTATAAAAAATTGATATAAGATGTTACACTTTTCCTGTTTCGGGGTCCAAGACCGGCCGTGATCTATGTTTTCCCTCACAGACACTGCTACCGCTCGCTCTCCTTGCTTGACAACACACTCACTGACGTCACTCACTTTACGCCGCATTCTCGTGAGAGAGTTAACGTAACACTCATTTAACACTAGATAGGTTCCTCTACATCTAATCAGCAATTTCGATTTTGGCACACTTTGCAGCAGCTGAGCTGACCACTAAGGACCGAATGTACAGTGACGTGACATTAAAAGGTACCAGATTTAAACTGTGCTTTCGTGCTATGGCTGGCGCTGAGCCAAAATCAGACGCGCTCAGCGCTTAATTCCGCTTATCATACAATAACACAATTATGTTTATTTTAGCTAACAAACTAGACGGCGACCTTGACTATGTCACACATCGCAACCACTCTTTTCCGGCGGAGTTACAACTGCTTATAGCACTGCATTTTCTGTGTTTTTTTGCC